ATCAGTCTTCATCTGGGTTATAGTAATTCCTATCTTTAATCACGCCCTACCAGGCCTCCTACACCCTCCTCACCATCGAGTTGGATCACTTGTTGTTCCCGTGTCCCAAGATGGGTAAATCTGTTGACATTGAATCTGAATAAAGCTATTTAAATAACTTAACCACATGAAATATTTTTATAAACTTGTATTCCTGTTCATGCTAACTGCATGCAATTTAAAGGAAAATATTAAAATATTAAAATACACAACTATAATTTCATTATAGCATAACAATTACATTAATATACAATCCAAAGAAAAACTAGTTAAAATTCATCAACTACACCTACTAGAACATTAAGTTTAAGAGCTGTTAAATGTTGAGATCAACAAATTAATTCTCAAAACAAACAAACAAACAAACAAACACAAATCTTTCCAACTTTCAAATATATTGTATGAAATCTAATGTGAAGGTCAAAAACTTCATGTGAATACATATATAAACATTTTAACGCATTCAAGTCTTATGAGAAACGGCACTGTGAAAACAGTAAGTTTTAAGTTCTTTTGCTGGTTAAGATTAAAGATCAAAATGATAATGAAGAAAGCATTCTTCCAGTGCTGAATATACTGATTAAAAACCAAGCACAGAATTCAGGCATGGTCTGAAATACCTAAATATTCCCTGTTGTTTTGAAGGTGTACAGATGGAGACAAGTCATATGCAGCTCTTGATCTATTTTGCCTTATAGATTATAGCAAATCCCTAAAAATATCAATTGAACATTTAGCTTAGGGATACAAAATAACAGCAGAACACTCAATGTTGATTATGACTATCACAATTCTATTAAGTAATTCCATGTACCAATGATTCCACATGAGATATAATAAAATGGTGAGGCAGTATCTAACAGCTTGGTCCTTTTTTAAAAAAATTAAATAATATATGTACATTTAGAAACAGACATGTGCATCCTATAGCTGAAGTTTGTACTTTGGGACCCACCCACATCTCTTTAAGATTCGTTGTCTATGGCTTTTGTATCCATCATAACACTAAAATACTAGAGTAAGCATCTACTCCGCCTATTTAAAATTCACAATTCTGATTAATGGAAGAACACATTCTCCATTACAGGTGCCCTTTCCAAAAAGAATCCTCTCCTTGCCTCACAGGTTAAAGAACATCAAGAAACAAATGTCCCTTTATTCCTATTTCCTATCTCCTATATCCTTGGTACTCAATATCACTTAAAAGTTGAATGACTTGTCTCCTAAGAAGGGAGTCTTTTGAGAAAAACATGCAATTTTATTGGCAGCTCTGATTCTTTATTTATTTTTTATCATTTCTATTAAGAGTATCAGTTTAATTATTTTATTTTTAATGCTTTCTTTTTTTTTT